TCAACATGCTGTTTCTTCAGCAGTGGAGTCTTGCGTGGTGAGCGTGCATACAGGCCATGGTGGTTCAGTGCATTACTTAATAATGTTTTCCACATTATTACAAATAATTTCATTTCTGGACATTTATGGTTTGATTTCTTTGTATGTATGGATCACTTGGGTTGTTACCAACATCTTGTGAAAATTTCATGTCATTAGCACCTCTAGCAATATATTTACTGAGAAAAATGGTGACGTGTTCAATACTTATTTTATCCACTGTATGCTCACTGATTTTCAACAATGAAACTATCTGTGAGCAAGGTAATGAAGAAAATAACCAGAACGCGAGAAAGGGAAAACTATCTCAGCGGAAAACAAAAAATGAATCCGCTTGAAGATCAAGAGGAAGATTTGGACGTCCAGATTTTATCTTGAATTACAAAAAGCGGCTTAAGAGAAAACTCTGAGTTAACCCTGAGTTTAAGGAAACTGGGTTTTTTGTTCCTGAATAAGAGGGTCTGTAATTGAGACTCGGGCTGGGTCCAAATTCAGGGGTTGGGTCTTTATAAGGACTTAGCCTACCTGGTCAATGCAGGTCAGGTCCTTTGTTGACCGCAAAGACTGGAGGAAAGTGGCTGTGAATTTGGACGGTCTAGTCTCCAGCTTTAATACTGCTTTTACTAATAATGCTAAACAGAAGAAATGAAGATCAAAAATAGATAAAAAATTAACAAAATTACCTTAGAGGTAATACATGAAGAACAAAGGGCTCCACCTAATGATCTTGTTTGATTTCTGTCAAGAATAATATTAAAAAAGCATGTCTATGCAAATGACAAAAACCTAACTACACAACCACTTTAAACTTTTAGTATTTTTACTGCCAGATTTGTATTAAAAACTTTACTCCTGTCTTGCTTCGCCTCTTCCTTGGTCTGCCATTACAAGCAAAAAAACATCCTGGCTGGCCTGCAATTCAACTTGGGATAGGGTGGGCTGAGAAGGGTCCACCAGACTCATCCCTTAAATCAGGGGAAAAGGACATATTTGTGGGCCACAATTAGAGGAGCCTTCAAATTTGGACAGCCTTCGGTGCGTCGCTGTGATGTAACGGGCCGACTAATTCAACCTTCGAAGGAAGCAGCCCCTGAATTTGAACACAGCCTCTGAATCTAACATAACACCTTTCTTTGACTAGTCATTGAAATGTGAAAAAAATCAGTCTTTGTTCATTTAGACCAGGGGTGGGCAATCCTGGTCCTCGATGGCCGCAGTCCTACATGTTTTACATTTTCCCTGCTCCAACACACCTGATTCAGTCACTGAATTACCTCTTCCAAGTTCTGCTGTATGGAGGACCGACACCGACATAATTAGGATTAAGAGCAGAGACATATAAATGAACCACTAAATAAATAAATAAATACGTTTAAGATGCATCAAATAAACAAAAAAAGAATTTTACCTCAAGTTTTATAATTTAATTGACCATCATATTTATTTTTCCAGCTTAGTTCCAATAAAGTGTATATTTTAACACATAAGTTAAATTTTACAGTTTATTAAGTATTTATATAGTTTTTCATTTTTGTTGTACATGCATTTGTGTCTCTTCAATTCTTAAATTTAATTTTATGTGTATATATTTTTCAATAAAGACACAGGTAATCCTCCTTGCCTTTGTTTTAAACTATACTTTAAACTTTAAGCCAAACTGAGGCAGCACAAGCATGCAACACATTGAAATAAAAAGATTAATTGGAAAAAATGTAAACATAATTAAGTTTAAACATTTAAGAGACAAAAATGCATTAAAAG